TAGTGTCGTTTGTCGTGTTCTGTTTTATTGATGTAAACGTGGGTGTCTAAAAATGTTACCGACATGATGATTTTTCGTGTTCGAACTTAACGGAGTCGTGTACCGTGTTTAGGATCATAAGAAATACAGTGAGTTTCTCCTCACTGCCCGTGTGTATAAAGAAGATATCGATATATCTTGCAGAGAATATGCAGTCGTTATCGATGAAGGGTTAAATATGGGTCTCCTCAAATATAAAGTCGGTTCGTAAATTTAAATCTTGTGACGTTTATAACGAAACTATAACATACTAAAATTCCTACTTGAAACTTAAAATTAGGGTCTGTTCTATCATAAAGAATATAAATGCAGGATCTGATAAGTCCAATACATTTGTCAAACATTTCGCCCAGATAGGCGTTTCGCAGTGAAATACTTGATTGGGCAAACTTGATTAGTCACATGTAAATTTATTTATATTTGTTATAGAGCGAAGTGCAGCTTCGACAATGTCCCTGGCGTGTCCTCTGACAATTTCGAAAACCGGTTTGCTAGATGAGTCTGCATTTAAACTGCTTTCCTTTCTATAGATTCCTCATAAAATATATATCAAATTGTAGGAATTTCTTGCTTGATCCATGTTTTATTTTTTCAGTCGGTTGAGTAGGCACAACGTGGCGTTCGACAAAAACGGGCCACTTGTGTTAGGGGATTTGTTGGAATTGAATTGTCACGTTTTTTACATATTGTTGCCATATTTAGGTAAGACCTCCGAGTTCTCACTTTACAGTTTCGAATGAGTACTAAAGCATGACAGAATTATTTTGGGTGAAGAATTATTTTGGGTGAAAATTATTTTGGGTGAAGAATTATTTTCCATCGGGCCAACATTTTCTTTCACCTCGAATATGAAAACCCTATTGCTATTCTATCGCTAGTTCCATAGAAAGTGCTCGACGAAGAATACTTCTTTGTTTCGCCGGGTCTTACCATAACGGTAATACCTGTCATAACACCTATAGTGTAGCAAATCACATCCCCACTGTATTTCATTTTGCGAAGTAAGTTCCACTCGATCAGCTTGTTCCTGTGAACAATTCTATGAGCCGACAGCTAGAGGATGTTTCCTGATCACTACAATCATAATCAGTTGAAGTCTAAAGTTGACCGCTATATCCCCGTCCAGTCCGTATAAACAGCCTTCTAACATATCCTTCTATGCCGAGTCGCCTCCTGCACTTGTACAAGGTGAACTTTACTGAAAAAAAATTAAAAAATCAAATCATTATTTACGTACACAGTATTTTCCTCATCTTTGTTGCAGCTATAACAGAGATTCAGTTGTGGTGCCTCCGACCTTCATCAGGATTATCTCGATCCGATTAAGCTAAAGGGTGCTTCGGATCGAATACATTATTTAATCTTCGGGTGTAAATTGTCCAATTTTCACTGTTCATGTCTGGGGATATGTCTTCTAGCTATTGTGTTTTAGTACAACCCAGTTATTTCGCAATCGTTTTCACCTGTGTCCAAGTGGATTAAATCATCGTTTCGTGATTTGTGACTGGAGAATTTGGGAATTCTTCTAGTTGACCCATATTTCAACTGCGATTCAACAGTACAGTATCCTGTATATTTAAATTAGAAATAATCATTAGACATTTGAAAAATTAAAGCATCAATTAATCAGTTCATATTTCAGTTAGAATTCCCCTCTCTTTAACAAGGAAATTATTATTTAAACTATTTCCATTTTAAATATGTTTCTTATCTTTATTGTTATTATCAGCGTTCCGGCCGTTGTGACTTCGGCGGGACAATAGAAGTACATTAAATCGTCCGTGAATTGGTGACATAGTGATTGTAATTTCAAAATTGACCGGGCAATTTTTAATTGGACTCAGTGTAAAAATGCGGTAATGACTAATGACCAGTAAAAATAAGAACTAGACTGAGATATATTCATTTGGGCAGTGGAATTCAGTTCAGAATTCTTTGTCTTTTTGCCCAGATCAATAGGTTACACAACGGCTGAAACGTTGATAATAACAGCAAGGTGATGACTAAAAAAGTCCGAATGAAAACAGTGCAAATAATTACAATCATCTTTTGCTCATGATTTGTATGGTTGATAGTTTGCCATTATAGCTAGATTTTTTATGAAAACATTTCCTGCTTTGGAAATTGGCGCAAGACAATTGCTATTTCCACTTTGTCTTCTTTCGATGATGGAAATAAAGAATCTGATGTCGCTAATACTATTCAAAAGGGTGTTAAGGATTGATACTACAAGGATGAGGATGAACTCGAACTCGGATCTGAGATTTTCAATTCATTCCACTATCCACTACTCCATTATACAACATATAGAAATTATACCTAACACAGATGTATATGGTGAATGAAGACAGAAAATTTACATGGTGTGGAGCATAGAGCAACAAATAAAATGCAGATGGTAGAAGTTAAACACCAAATGATAAAATAATGTTTTTTTGGGACGGAAGATTCCCACATTCTTCCGGTTAATAAATTAATGTTTTGAAAATAAATATTTAACCTTCTTCAACCAATGGGTCACGTTCCCGCCAACAATTAAAAAAAAACAATTCCCAATTTCAATGGATTTAACTACTTGTTAACATTAGTGGATCGTTTGCAATCAAGGACATCTCAGTAGAAATCATTGCCAGGATTATCCTGGAGAAATGGATCACAACATATGGTGTATATTTAGTCATTATATCTGACAGAGAGGCACAGTTTCAATCTGTATTGTTCCGAGAATTTGTGAACTTGCTAGGTGTTAAACACATGAAAAATACTGCATATTCGCTAATTGTATCGTAGAGTGTTTTCCCAAACAATCAAAGTCGAGCCATACAAATGGGTTTGTAGATGACCGTATGCGTCTGAAGTGTTGTTGAATTAGAAACACGTGCTGTTTATTTTCCTGCTAGAAGAAGGTCCAGGTAGCAAGATTATAATGACTCAAGTTGAGTCCAACCAAGATGAAAAGAAAATAAAAACCTGATATATATATATATATATATATATATATATATATATATCTATATAGATATATATATATCAACAAATATATGTCATTAAGCAAAAATGTACAATTGACAAAGACATTAACATTTGTGTTTTGTGTGAACCTAAAGAGTGTATATTGGTGAATGTTATGTACGTGTATGTGTGTATGATGTGGGGTTATTTCCCACAAATAGGAAGACGCTTATCTTTTTCGAGAGCTTACATTAGAGAAAAACAAGCTGAAGAAATGAAAAAAGAGAACGAGGCAAGAAACCCAAATTTATAATTTAATAGGAGCGACATTCTAGTGAACAGTTAGGAAATTAGGAGGAGCTAACTTGACAGGTTGATAATTTACAACCACGCTGTTATCTATGAGAAAAATAATTAAAGATCATTTAGGTTAAAACCCTAGCAGAAATGTTTTTTGGTACTACAATGATGTTATCTGGTCAATATTTCAAAGATTGATCGATGACATCACAACTTACCAGTTTTGTTCAAGTTTTTTTAAGATAGAATGAACAAATTACCATTCAAGCCAACAAGATGTAGCAACAAATAATCATACAATTTAAAAAAGACCCACAGACCACTGAATACATTTTTTTTTGGAAATGATATGATAAAAAGACATTATTCCTAAACTATATTGAACCATATCAAATCATTAAGAAACAAAAAAGTAGAGAACAATCCTCAAAGACGGTAAAAGAGACAAAGTAAAATAAACTTGTCATCTTTAATAGTCAGTTGGGTTTAGTTTAATTTGTAACACCATAAAATATAAATACGAGGGTCACAATTGATTGTTCAGGGCCTCCTATTAGGTTTATTTCCTCCAGGTCAGGGTGTGTCAGATGGTCAGTGGCACAGTGCAATGCTTAATATATATAGTGTTTATTATGCTTTCTTTATATTGATAATCCCCTCCTGATTTTTGACCATTTGACAGTGCACCTCAAAACAGGGGTTAACAGGATTATTTTTAATTTTCTTGTTTGTGATTTTGTGTCTTTTTGATTTGTCTGGTCTGTTAGACTTTTATATGTCTATCAATATGAATGATAAGTCGGCAAAGAATATTAAACATTATTATTATTATTATTATTTGATTTTATATGGTCACATTACCTACCAATGAGAATGGGAAGACCAAAGGCAGGTAGTGGTGTGTTGTTATAGTTACGCTTCATGATTCGTTTTTCTATTTTTTGGCAACATTACTAGCTTTACATGAACAAAGTTCTTAGTGCTTGGAGATTACTCTTATTAACATTTTTTTTGTATTTCTATTAAATTGGGATTTGGGGAATTTTTCAATGTGTTGTGTTCTTTTCTTATTTTTTTAACATAAAGCACATTTATTATGAATGGTATTATTACCATCTTACAATCCAGTCGAGCATATCAAGTTTTTTATTTCGGTTTTTGATAATTATATCCGGCCGATTTACTTTAATCTTCCTGTCTTTCTGTAAAGATGGTGTCTTATTATTATGGCTGGCCACCGCTGTCTAGGGCACCGGTCTAATTTTATTGCAGACACCTGTTCAGGCGGATTTTGTATTTGTTCAACACCCACAGAGCCCACCTGTGGTTTATACTGCAAATGCTGAACAGACCTGAGTTATAGTTACGGGGTGAGAGCATGATACAAGGTCAGCACACTCAAAGTCTCGGTCACAATATCTTGTGACTTTGCCCTAGAACAGCCACCAACAGCTCCAAAATTTCAATTTACAAGTCTTGGATCGACCCGTTTTAACCTTTACAGAGCGAATAACATCAACAATTTTCCTTCCTGACAAATCTACCATGGGGGAGATTTGAACCTGGGTCTCATGTCCAGAAAGGAAGAACATTCTAACCACCAGAGGAGACCTCTCATTTGGCACAAATACAGAGTATCCTGAGATAGAGATGGTCTGTGGTTTCTGACATTTTTCACAACACCTACATTTTGCATTACACTATTATGTATGATATTTGCTTCAAAGTTACGTTCATTCTTCTTCTTCTTCTTCTTCTTCTTCTTTCCTTCTTCCCCTCTTCTTCTTCCCCTGTTCCCCCCCTCCACCTCCTCCTTCTTCTTCTTCTGTTGCTGCTTTTCTTATTGTTAGTTAGGACAATCGTTTCACTGAGTCATCCTGAGACCTACGGTAAGACTAATAAATATATGCATACTACTTGAACAAATTTTGATGTTAATGGTTAGCCAGATGGAAGAGTCTAGTGATCAACCCTAGATTCTATGATAAGGGACTTGACTTCGTTACTTTTAAATTATTATTATTATTGTTGTTGTTATTGTTTAATTAGTAGAATCCTTTTTTGATTCATTAATACCTAGGGTAAGGCGATGAAATAATAAATTAATGTATTAACCTGCAAAATTTGATGTCAAATGTAAATTACATATACAGCATTCATATTTTGTGATATTGATAATCCTCTTCAGAGTAGATGATTCATTTCACACAGTGTCATTTTTTTTAGGTCGGGTCCATTTGATATAATGTATACATCGCCCCTAACTCACCCCTGTTTTAAGTTCCTAATACTTATTTTGTCATTGTCTTTAACATACAGTGATGTTTGATAAAAGTGACTCACCTGGTTTTTTTTACTAAATGTTCTTCTCCGATGAAACGAAAGTTGAGCTAAATCCAAAGGATAAGCGATCTAAAATCTGAAGAAGAAGCTTTGAAAGCTTCTTTAATTTAGCAGGTACTGTCAAGCATCCGTTCAGTATAATGTTCTGGGGATGCTTTCCTTTTCATGGAACTGATTTCTTAAAACCTATTGAAAAGACCTCAGGAGCAAGCAGTACAAGAGAATTTTAGAGTCTTGTCTGCTCCCTTCTGCTGAAAGGGTGCAAATTGAACCCACCAAGCTATTTTTTATGCAGGATAATGCTCCCTGTCACAAATCAAAATTGATGAAGGAATACTTTGGTGAGAAGCAGGTGAGTGTTATGACATGGCTGTCCCAATCTCCTGGCCTCAACCCAATAGAAAACTTATGGAGCATTATAAAGTACAGGCTCTCGAGAAAGCAGTTGAGCAACAAAGAGGATTTGATTGTGAATTTCATATCCGAATGGAATTCAATGCTTGGAGATCAGATTTGCTAGAACCTAATCAAGTCAATGCCAAAAAGGGTTGAAAAGGTTATTCAAAATAGATTATTATATATTTATTATTATAGGTTATTAAATATTTGAACTGTATTACCTATTATAAATAAATTATACCTCTATTATTCTTTATTTAAAGCTGTTCGGTTATGTTTCTATTGATTACTAGTTGCAGGAAATAAGTGAGTCATTTTTTTTTTTTTGCACAGAGTTTTTCCCTAAATCTCATTTATATCCAAAATTATAATTATCAATAGAATACCTTAGGATGAGTAAAATTTTACTAGGTTGTCGGAAGGGGTCTTTATTAATAAAAAAAGCAAAAAGCTAACATTAAATAACATCAACTATGAACAGGCCACACTGTGTTGACAGTATTTGGAAAATAAACATTCCTATAACTTCGAACACATACATTAAAAAAAAAGCAGGCATACAATTAAAAATAAAAAAAAACACCTTTGATAAAAGATTAGGTAATAATGAAAAGCCCTCGGATATGTTAAGGAAAGAAAAAGACTTCAACGAACAAGTAAAATTAAATTAAAAGTATAATTGCAATAGACTATCAGTCGTCTTTAACGAAATATATATATATATATATATATATATATATATATATATATATATATATATATATATATAAGAGAAGAAGCAACCGTACATTTTAATATTATAATGTGTATTTTTTAAAAGTTTATTTTATGTATTTCATATTTTAGATTATTTTTTTAATTTGAAATAGTTATAATCTGTCCTATATATATATATATATATATATATATATATATATATATATATATATATATATATATACCCTTAAGATGTGTTAATATTTATGGGATGAATTGCTCGATATCAGAGATAGAGCGTATGTAAATATAAAAGGAATATAGGTAAGTCAACATAGAGCGACAATCTGTTTCATTTATATGTAATCGTTGGATTTTATACATAAACACTAACATATTATGATATATATATATATATATATATATATTGCAGTTACGATAAGAATTTGAACATCCATAGATTATATTTTATTTCCCTTTCTTTGGAATTTTTCCTGTCTTGGATTGTACTTTTAGTTCTGTGTTTTTTTAATATATATATATCTATATATATATATATATATATATATGATGATGAGATAATATAAAAGATATATATATATATATATATATATATATATATATATATATATATTTCTAATTATCTCATATATATAAAAAATGCATTCATATATGTTTTTCATGGATCACATTTCTTCTGCATAAGATAATATATAGATATATATATTTATATATTTATATATATATATGAGATAATATATATATATATAATACACACACGACAAAATATTCCAAATATATATATATATATATATATATATATATATATATATATATATATATATGGTAAGATAACATGTAGGAAACGTTTATTCATTAGAATTTTGGCAGATATTATAGTTTCATTAGCGAATATACATGCATATATATATATATATATATATATATATATATATATATATATATATATATGTAACATTGCAGTTTATCTATGAGAAATGGTTTATATATAACGGAATTACTTATTTGGGCAGGCAAGATAGGTGGAAAATATGGAGCGTGTTTTATGTCCACCGCTGGTGGAATATAACAGAAAAATATACATGCAAAAGAAAACAAGAAAGGATATATATATATAATATATATATATATATATATATATATATATAGGAAGGACAGGCAGTAAAACATTAAAGAACATAAAATTCGATAACGTTTAAATGACGTCAATTTGTTTATATGGAATGAAAGTTTGCGGTATTAATCAGGCACGTTGCGTAAATATTCCAAGAAAGACAAACATTGAAATTGATGCAGCCATATTTATATGTACTCGAAAGAATTATATATATATATATATATATATATATATCAATATATATATTTTTGTCTGTGTGTGTGTGTTTAGCTCCTTTAATCAACATTCCCAGCTTATTCCATTAAGTTCAGAAAAACAGGGTTTTCCTAAATAACCGCTTCCTGTGTAACAGATTCCCAAGAGGACTTTTCTTCTATCACTACAATCTTATATTATAAAAGACTAGAGTTGACCGGTATCTTTCCTCCTATCCATATATAGTGCCCATTACTTAAAGTCGACTATGAGTGCACCGTTTGAGCATTTTTACTGTAAAAGGAAAAAAAAAAAAAATACTGTTATATTTGCATCGTTAAAGTATAAATTACAGTGGGCTTTGTCCAACGATCAAACAAAAATCACCTGAGCAGCTGTCTGCAAATAAATTAAAACCTCCATAATAGTCGGGCATCCCGGATTTGAGGCCATCCATCCACATATCATTTATACGTGTTACACACACACACACACACACACACACACATGTTTATAAGAGAATTGTCATCCACAGACAGAGTGTTTCTGCTGTATCCACAGCTCAAGGTAACAGAGACGTGCGGTTGCCTCTAGCTAAAGGATGGAAACCTTGCAGGATTCTACCTCAAAGCCGTTGCACAACAAAAGGATGAATGGTGAATTTAAGCGTGCATTTATTTTTAGATAAACACACAGTGACTGAGAGAAATCGATTCGTTTTACCGAAGAAGTTGATATATATATATATATATATATATATATATATATATATATTTATATATTTAGGCAGCAATCCTTCCTTCATGCATGTTTCATTAAAAACGACAGACAAGGTACTACGGTTGAGCTTTTATTTAATTTTTCTTGTGTTCTGACAAGAGCTTTCTTTTCTGGACAAAGAGTGTGTAAGAACTGTCCGAATGTTCTGTATTTCCGAGTTCTTTCGGCTATACCTTTAGCCATTATCAAGGATGATTCAATTATCAGCTTAGTAGAGTGTGTTTGTGTATATGTTCAGTGTGTGGTAGTGATGTTTTTAGTTTCCGAATACGGTTAGCACATTGTGGCTTTGTTCATAGTTAATATTGTTAAGAGTTGGCTTTTTTTTTATTATTAGAGCTTCCATTATTTTAGTCTTTTTTGCAAAGGCTAACTGTATTCGGAAACTAAAAAACATCACTATCACACACAGAACATACAGAATGCACACTCTACTAAGCTGAGATCTGAAGACGTATTGGGATAATAAAGAGGTATTCAAAAACTAGACGAAGTATTACGAGACAGGAGGATTTCTTTGCTAACAAAAGTGTAATGAGCTGCTACGTGACATCTGTCCATTTTTACGTCAGCGAATGTTGGATGGTCTCCTCAAAGATGAAGAAGACACTCGAGATAGTAGAGGTATGGTTATACAGAAGGATGCTAAGGATATCATGGACCGAATATCTGAGCAACGAGGAGGTTTTGGAGAGGATACAAACAAGGTGGACGTTTATACATCAGGAAGAGGCAGCTGAAATTTCTGGGACACGTAATGAGAAAAGAAGAGACTCGAGGCAACGGAGGTATGGTTCTACAGAAGGATGCTAAGGATATTAGGTTCCAGGCGTTTTGAGCAACGATGAATTTTTAGAGAGGATGCAAACAAGGTGGAAGCTTATACTTTCCATCTGGAAGGGGCCGCTGAAATTTCGCACCAACATAGCAAATGTAATCCGCTGAAGTCCTAAAAAAACAGAATGCAGGTCATCAGTAAAAGGATGAGCCCGAAATGTGATTTTCAGGTCAGGGACACTAAAGCCAAGCAGGTACGGAAATTTGAATATCTGGGAAGTGTTTTGACAGCGGTCGGTAAATACGACGCTGAGATCCATAGACGTATTATGGTAGCCAAGGACTCATTCTAAAAAATCTGGGCAGAGTATTGTGAGACAG